GCTATATTTAAAGTTTCCTATGTTACCTCTAATACCTCCAAGAACATGTGTACAAAATTTCGTGATGATCGGTTGAGTAATTTTCGCGTGAAACCGTAACAAATAAACTTACATTCGCATTTATAATATTAGTAGGGAAGTAGGGATTATAATTTCAACTTGAAATTGGAAATGGTTGTGTCTGATGTTCCGCATTTCCGATGTTGCTAGATTTCGGAATTGAGAAAAGGAATATAAAATATGTGCTGACGAAATAAATGAAAATGAGCTAAAATCATAACATAGGCCTATTTTTCAGTGAATTTCAAAAAAAACCTATTGTTTTTCTGAAGAATGTGTATTTTTCCATTTTTCCAACGTGGGTCTTCCGTGTTAGGCTCTTTATCGATGATATCAAACCCCCCAGTTCAGTACGTGTTCTATACGTCGACGCCTTTTTACAACTTACTGCCAGGCATCGTTCGATAAGTCATCGAATAAGCAATGTTCGACAATGCTGTATCTAATCGAGAGAAGGTCGCTGATCCACATCGATCGACTATTTTTATTCACAGTTCTTTTTTTATGTAGTCTTGTACCGAATCAAAAGGTGTATCAAATGCCTTCTTTAGACATGGTTATAAGCTAAGCAAACTATACCGGCGACAAAAAAATTAATTGCCTTCTAGCTATATCGTATTAAATTCTTTCCGCAAGCCGGGGGAAAAAGCGTGGAGTTATTATTCACCGGTTTGTTTGTATTGATGTACAAAAAAGTAACACAATTTTGAATAGATTCTATCAGATCTTTTGTCAGTGTAAGAGAGAACATATTAGGTGTTTATTTTACATTATTACACGCTTCAGTTCTTTCTATTTATTCATCAGGATTGTTACGCTATTATTAGAATAGTTACTATTAAAATTGTATGACTATAACTAAGATACTACTAATCGGATACTTTTAATAATTTTCAGTCTACCCCATTTAACAAAGAAAATTAGACGGTAGTACCAATACATCAAAATTGGAGCCGTTTTTATATCCTTCGAATAAACATTTCTATGCTTATTGAATTGACAAAATGGACTGGCAGTTTTTATACTTTTAAGGTTTTGATTTTTTTATCATTATATTTGATTGTGTTTGTGTTGAAATGTGTTTTTTCCTTAACGGCTTATCACGCCCTTACCAACTGCAACTCTCAAAAGTACTTTGAACTAAGCTTAACGAGCTACTTCACTAAACTATATCCATCTAACAAACAAAGATAGATGCGTGATCAAAAATTGATCACTACGCACATTTGTATCTATTGGGTAAACGCCTGTAGTGTGTACATATACGGTATTTTGAAGTTAAATTTTTTTAAAATCAAGTACTGATTCGGCTGAAGAAACTGTTGATTTGTGTCCTTACACTTCACATAAAAAAATCANTGAAGTTGGCATATTTTGGTCAATGTCCATCATTATATAATAAAATTGTTCCTTAGTGCAACTCTGTACAAGCAGCCTTGTCTAGGAGATCACATGCACTATGCATGATAATGTTTTGGAGCCCTCCAAAGACTATACATAGCTCATTGATCTTCAATATAGTCCTGAAATATTCACTCGTTTTTGTTATGGAGTCTCTAATAATCTTTTTTTTCTTTCAAATTGGACACCGGGTTTCTGATGAAAGATTCTTCTTCTGAATTTATCATTGAAACCATTCACATTTTGAACTTCTTGTTAATATTCCGCAGGCAATTCAGAAATAGTGTTTCTCTTACCACATGAAATCAATTACTTGAATTGAACTTTTTCCGACTGTGAAAATAACGAAATAATTATTTCGTTATTCACATGTTTCGTTCATTGCATATAACCGCCGGGCGTTGGACTTACCAGTTTCACGGGATGAAAAACCATGATGGATGGTAATTAGCAATTTGCAGTGGCTACCGAGCTACCGCAATAACTCCAGATTTGACTAGACCGTAATCAATCATTCTTCCATTTCGTTTTGTATTATATGCATATACATGAATTAATTATAATATTATTTATTATATTCCCAAGGACTAATTGAGCTTCTCTAGGGGAAATTGTGAGACGAATTAAAAGCGAAAAGTTCCATTAATTACTATACCGCTATGCGGTCGGTATTCGCAATTACTTCGGTGTCGTTGATCGGGTCGCAGGTCAAGTTGCTAATTGATCGTCAATTATATAAATCAAGAAGATCAATGTCTTCTACTCACAAAAAGTGCACGTTTGCTTTTTCAAATATATAGCTTCTGTTCGCAATAGTTTTCCAATTCGATCAGAAAATTCAAATTCATGCTATAATGAGCATGTCGAAAAATAATTTTGGAAATTGCACTACTTTTTTTCTCTATGTCAACGGTATCGACTGCTAAGGTCAGTATAGGCTCATGATCTATATAGGTACGCTGTGTTAATAACTCCCCGAATCGTCTACACTGTGTCACATTTGTTTAAATACACATAACATTACGTTGGCCACAAATAACCAACGTAATGTCATGTGAAAATACAACAGTGCTTGTAACGAAGACAGTCCATTATAAATCATGTAGAACAAAAACCGTTGATATAATGGAGAATAACACGAGAACTTATGTGTTTTCCAACAAATGCTAATGAAACAGTAAAATATGAATTGGAATAATTCTGCATATGTAATGTAATTTTGAATAATATTTTAAGTAAATTTCCTCAAAAGTAACTCAAAATTCTGTGATGGGTAACGCAATTTTGCAGAAGAACTTATGTAATATTTACCTTATTAATAAAGTGTTTTCACATTGTATATTTCCATTTTCACTGTATTTTTACAATGTATTTTCACATATTTCATTGTCATTTCACAATGGACATGTTTCACTTTTTCTTTACGCTTATTTGAAAGTTGAGTGTTATATATCAAAGGGAAAGTTTTATCAAGCATTGCACTAAAATAAAAGCAAAGTATGACCGATTAATCTTTCTCTTGGTTTTATATATCAGAGCATTTCTATTGTTACCATTTCCAGATTGAAAATTCCACGTAGGTAGCTATAGCTGCCTTTTGTGAATACTAGATCTTCTTACGAAAACCACAGATGTGCGACTGACTTCTGTTGATGACTGCATATAGTTGCGCATTTATTTGAAACCATGTAACTGCCCAATCTATGCCATTTGACTACACCATATTGATAAGGGCCAACTAGCCCAAAACACGTGTCTTTTCGAATCCAATTATATGTTATTATGTGAAGGTCCAATCCAAATATATATTTCAATGTATAACAGAGTTATCATACCCCACTGAGGAATGTGTACATGGACCTGAATCATTTTTTCAAGGAGTTGTATCATATCAGAATACTATTAGTCAAGAATGTGTACCAAATTTAATAGAATTCAATAAATTAAAGTTCAACTAATCTTTGGAACATGAATTTCAATACATACTGAGAAATGAAGCATATGTCATTTAACAATAATAACCAACTAGAAAATAAAATTAAAAAGAAAATGTTGTTGAAACTTAACTAGAATTCAATTCAACATCATCAGTGCAGCATATATTGCATGAACATTAGAAAAAAAACCTTTCAAACATAAAATCACATTAAAATAGGTTTATGTTCAATGAAACTTAAAGAGTATTATCATTTGTAAGTTATAAGTAAATAAATATTACTGGAGCTTTTTCCCAACACCATATCTTTAAGTTTTGATCTTCCTCTTGAAGATGATCACTTGGTCTATGTGTTAGGCTCGAGACTTTTCTGCCCACGTAGTAAAATAATTCTCTGATCGAAGTTGTGTTCGAACCCATGCGCTTTGGATCGTGAATAGAGAAGTTGAAATATTGTATGTTTTTTAGTATGAACATCCTAAAAACTGGTTCCTATAGAAATTTCAATTAAAACAACCAAAGCTTTGTAATTAGTTAATTTGGAGCCAATTTAGACATCATTGTGCTCACTTCTGTTTTGATTTTAGTTTCAAGAAAACGTTCAATGTCCATGTTTTCCTAAAAGCATTTACACAACGTTTTACATTCTTATCTCAGTCTTTGTATTCAAATCATCACCTTTTCGAATTTCAACATTTGAGATTATTATTGAGAAAAAGTCAGTAAAGCAAGCAATCCATTGTCCACAAATAGCGGTTGATTGCTGACAGGTGACAGAGATTCTTATTGTACGAAATGGATCCAGAAGGAGACATATTTGTTGGTACAAAAGAAACGCCTTCATAGAAACATAATTAAGATGATATTATAATGAAGTTGGCATATTTTGGTCAATGTCCATCATTCTAGTGTAGATTCTAATTTACCAAGATAAATCGCATTTCTATAACAACTGATATGTTACTTGTCTTAGGACTAAAATTAACCTTTATAAATTGACCCGTCATAACACAACATCAGATACCAGAATTTGGCACTTGTTACAGGAGACTGATAAGTTCAGTTACCTGGACAAGCTTACTAAAGTTCTCAGATTACTACGCATGTGTCTACATTGCTTACGATTAGTATTGCAGAGAAAAACAGTAAAGAATCTCGTTCGACCGTCGAGGGTTTTGCTAAGGACCGCTTTTGGGAGACTCGTTCCATCTATGATATTCGCCTTTTCTTACTCAAGTTTATTCTCCTTCAAGAACAGTTGACACTAATACTGCATTTGTGGTTCAGCCTAGCACCACTCCTGACACTTATATTGGATCACTAATTGTTATTTTCTGGTCTTTGTTAATGATTAGCTTTCATTACTCTTTTTCAATATCAAACGTACTTTAGATTTGATGATATCAGATACAGTTATTTTTTTCGGTACGTTCATAAAGCGCACCTAACCATAAAGTAAGTATTCGTTTAGGCAGAAGTAAACTAAAATATTGCAAGTATTCTGCAGATGATATCCTGCCAACTGGTGGCCAACAATTTACTTCAATGGCTTTCCTCATTTTTCAGTTGTAAAATATTTCATTAAATTATTTCTTCATTCCAGGTTCTCCTTGCGAGCATGATGGAATATGCGTTAATACACCTGGAAGTTTTGCCTGCAACTGTACTCAAGGCTTCACTGGTCCAAGATGCGAAACCAATGTCAACGAATGTGAATCACATCCCTGTCATAACGACGGATCATGTTTGGATGATCCTGGTACTTTCAGATGTGTTTGCATGCCAGGTGATAATTTTTGGTAATAAATTGTTATTTTCGAAATTCTTTTTCGCGCCGTATCTTTGAAACAAAACGCCCTACCAAAAAATCATCAAAGGACAAAATATCCTTAGAGTAGTATAAAAAATAGTCCCTTAAATGTTTGCCGCATGTTCAATAAACACCCTGTATAACGTAACTCTTCGCACTTCGATGCTCTCGAAAGTAGTTTTTAAACTAACAAAACTTGACTATTGTGCACATTACCATCTATCGTACCGTGTGAAACAGCGTTATTCATATTCAGGGAAATGATTCAACCATTGCCTGTTTACGATTATTCAAATAGAGCTGCAGCTACATATCGTCTTAGTTTAGAGAGCAGTAATATAATATCAATGTCACTTGGGAAATCATGCTTTTATTTTTGGAAAAAATGACATGCTGAGATAACGAGAGCATTATCAAAGGTATGGAATAATTGATATTCAATAAATCGGAACCTAATCAGTTGACATTGTTTTTTGAATAGGAAAATTTCCAGCCAAGCTGTCGAATATTTCGATCGTAAAATCTGCTATTTCTGTCATCTTCGTCACAAGAAATTTGCGTGAAAGAAATCGTGAGGATTTCACAATAAGCAACATAAAGGTTGGATACGTACTGATTTGCATTTTATGTTACGATAAAAATTTACATGCACATGGTACGCACCTTTGGCAGGCATCCGACACATTTTCTAGTACTGGAAAATTCGCGTGGAATACCCGCAAAAGAAATACCCCAAATATCCAACGGTGAGAAAGAAGGAATCTAAATTTTTGTGATGAACAAGGTATTAATTTGTATTTAGTGTCAATAACCCCATGTCGCAGAAATACGTCTAGGGTTTTGTTAACAGAAAAACGCCTGTAACTAATTTTAAAATATCATTCAAAAGATGTTCTTGTGAATCATTTAATAGTTTATTAGAAACTTATGTAAAATGAATGTTTCAACATTTTTTCTATTTCCACTTTTCAGATAGATGTTCTCTATAATCACATTCAGTGTCGTATTTTGCAAACAGAAGAAAAATTATTTGACTCATGTCGCATTCCTTTCATTCGCTTGCCGTGTTCAACGTTTTTACAGAAACTATTTTTATTGTTCCAAGATTCTTGTTTTGCCATTAGGATGGTAGCAATTAGCATTGACATGTAACGCCTCACTTTGAATTTATGTTAACAGTAGGAAGCGTTTCTTATTGAACCACGACCCTATTTTTTTAAACGCTTTTATTAGCTTCACTTGTATGTTTATTTGTCTGTAACCGACTCGTTTGGACTCTATTTTGACTAACTTTAAACAGACAGATTGATTTGAAACGTTATACACTTATTTCATGAGTGTATCTCATTATCCTGATCAGAATCGTCAGGATTGAAAAATTTCCTCACACAGTCTCTGTGTGAGAGCAAGTGAGACAACCACACTGTCTGCGCATGCGTATACATTTTATATTGAAACAAATGGACTCAAAATAGCAAGCCAAACTTGAAACTGAAAAATAAATAATAGTATTAAAAACTAAAAAAACACGCTTTAATAGCAACACAAACCAATTTAATGCAGAGTGCAACAGACTGTTGGTTGACACTGGAAGTCACAGCATTCTGGAAATGACCTCTGACTTTATGCCTTCAACTATAAACTACGAACTGTCTTATAAAGTACTGTTCCCGAGTAGAGAGGACTGGATACTCCGGGAGAAGGAAATATTAAGAGCGGATAGTTGTTGGTTCACAGATGGATCAAAAACACCTTCCGGTTCTGGTGCAGTTGTTTTCGGTCACAGACCCAGGACAGAGATATCAACCTACCTAGGAACCTACACGACTGTATTTCAAGCGGAAATTCACGCTATTGAATTTTGTGCGTAGAGATTAGAAGAATCCGACCTCATACACAAGTCAATAAAAATAGTTCCGGATAGTCAAGCGGCGTTGGAGGCTCTTGGCTCCTACCGAGCAACTTCTCATTTGGTAGCAAATTGCCAAAAACGACTCTTCTCGATAGGAAGACTTAACAGATTGTCTCTGGTCTGGATTCCTGGCCATACTGGTCTGGAAGACAATGAAGCTTGATACCAAACCTAACCTATGGCTTGATGTAACTAATGACTACAAAAAAATTTATTTTCATGTAACAAAGCGTGTTGTGCTAAATATCCATTGTTATAAATACTTGGTTAGGAGCTGTTTGCCAGATTGGAGTCATAATAAAANTAAATTATATTTTTATTATGGCTCCAATCTGGCAAACAGCTACCAACCAAATTTTTATAACGATGGATATAAAACAGCACACGCTTTTTTACAACAAATTTTTTTTTTCGTAAATAGATTTATTCTGATTTCAGACTTATTGAAAGGCATTAGTTACATCAAGCCATAGAACTAATTATCGATGTTGAACACAATCTCAAATTATTTTCGAATTATTTTTTGGTTTGTGTTGCTATTAACTCGTGTTTTTTTAATTTTTTTTAAACTGTTATTCATTCTATGGGCCTAGTTTGTCACCACCATGGTTCGATAGAAATCTGACATATGCCATCTTTGTAAAAGTTGTGTATACCTACCCTCGACTCAGAATAAATCATTTGAATTATTTCTTGAAATTTATAGACAAAGGTGGGGTATCGATTAATTAGTAACTGCTTGATTGGAAATTATTTCAAAGCGACACAGACGGATTCTTACCGCAGCGGCGTAAAGAGAAACCTGCAATACGAGTTGCAGGATATCTGAATTTGGTAAAACATCCAGGTAGTCGTCTTGTTTAGTATCTATGTTCATATAAGGGCACTTTGAGATACGTGGCGTGCTGCAGAATGTTCTTATCGATAGTTTACTCGATGATATTCTGACTCACGCCTGTGGTTGATGTAGTTACGAGGGTAGTCAGTAACTATATTAAATTGTTATAAACGGCAATGCATTTTTTTTCTCATATTGACTAACTGCAAACTTCAGTTCTATTAAATATGATTCTTCTGAATTAATATATTTATGTTGACGTCACAGAATGACTTCATTTTTACAATGTTGCACGAGGGCTCGTCGATAATTTCTTCGTGAACTTTTCTTTTCCAATCTGCCAATGTTTATATTTGACGATAGGTAGTGAAATTAGTTCAGTTTGAAACTTCATTATATATATTTACGGCACCAGTGGTATTTACGGTATAAGTGGAGTCTTTCTTATACAGGATAACTTTCTGTATATCAAAAATAGTGAAAAAGGAACCAGGAGCTTCACTTGGGGGATTGGCTACGTCAGCATCAATCTAGAAAGTAACTGAAAGGAATACCTGACATTTACATTACCAGGATTAATTTTCAAATTTTTGAAATATGATTATTGATTGAAGCTCATGTCATGTTGAAGCCCAGAATGAGGTATGGCTCACGAGATGATGCACTGTTTGGAACCTGTGATGTAGTAATGAATATTACTGGTGTTTTATCCCAACACCAAACCGTTATTTTTAACACCTCGACACGTGTTTCAATCACCAAGTGATCATCTTCAAGAAGATTAAATTAAATGTACATACAATATACCATAGATACATCTGCTAGGTACCTGTGTCTTAATTGTCTTAAATTAATTTTACAATGTTGCGTTATCTACTAGCCAGGTATATCTGATAACTAGTAGTATAGTATTATACTACTAGTTATACAATACCTAATAGTATACTATTGGGTATTGGTCCACCATCGTTATTCATAATATTATGTTTACTTATTTCTACGCTCTCATAGGCATCTAGATGCCTGTTTTTGTTAATCTTGATGAACTATTTCAGGTGTGCTAAGTGTTCCTTATATCTTATTTCAATAGATCTTTTAGTCTGTCCACAATATTTTGCATAAAGGAATACCTGTCATTTACATTACCAGGATTGATTTTCAAATTTTTGAAATATTATTATTGATTGAAGCTCATGTCATGTTGACGCCCATAATGAGGTATGGCTCACCAGATGATGCACTGTTTGGAACCGTTGATGTAGTAATGAATATTACTGGTGTTTTATCCCAACACCAAACCGTTATTTTTAACACCTTGACACGTGTTTCAATCACCAAGTGATCATATTCAAGAAGATTAAATTAAATGTACATACAATATATACATCTGCTAGGTACCTGCGTCTTAATTGTCTAAAATTAATTTTACCATGTTGCGTTATCTACTAGCCAGGTATATCTGATAACTAGTAGTATAGTATTATAGTAGTATAGTATTATACTACTAGTTATACAATACCTAATAGTATACTATTAGGTATTGGTCCACCATCGTTATTCATAATATAATGTTTACTTATTTCTATGCTCTCATAGGCATCTAGATGCCGTTTTTGTTAATCTTGATGAACTATTTCAGGTGTGCTAAGTGTTCCTTATATCTTATTTCAATAGATCTTTTAGTCTGTCCACAATATTTTGCATCGCAGTCCTTACATTTAATTTCGCAAATTCAAGACTTTTCCGAATTCTCGACTTTGTCCTTTGGATATTCTAAAAGGCTCTGTAGTTAGTATGACTTGTTTTAAATACCACCTTCATACCTAGTTCCTTGAAAATATTTCCAAAGTTCTTCGTATATTGGTGGTATGGAACTGGGACATATTTATCTTGGTTTTCGTTTATTCTGAAAGTCGAGATTTCGTTCATTCTTAACCTCAACTTTTTCTTCTTTATAATATCATCTAAAAATCCCTCGAGAAACCGTTACTGACTGCTATTTCCTGTATTTTCACTTTACTATCCTAGACGATGAACTATGGATGATTTTTTCAAGATTTTTTATTTTCTGGAAATAAAATTAAGTCTATATAGTTCCCTCAAAAGAATATCTCTAATCCCTGGTGTTCATAAACAGTTTTCCTTTCTTTGTAATTCAAAGGAAATAGAGTTCTCTATAAAAGTTATCCAACTGATCTTTTTTTTTTCTTATTCAACTCCTACTAT